TAGAGATGAGGTCTCATCAAGGGGCCCAGGCGGGTCTCGAACCCGCGGGCTCAGGCAATCCACTCACCTCAGCCTCCCAAGGTGCGGGATTACAGGCTGAGCCACCGAGCCCGGCGGGACGCTCATATTGGAGGCACTCCCAAGGGAACATCCAAGGGAGGGCCCCAGCCTTGGTGTCTGACATTCAGGGAAGGGAAGGCCCCCTAACCTGCTGAAGGGGGAGCTGGCAGGCTTCACAACTTTGAACCTCAGCTACTCCATCTGGGGTGACAGCACCTGTCCCAGGGCCAGCTGCCATGAGCACACAATGAAATACAGAGGCACACGACCTCTGTCAATGGCAGAACGTGATGGGCAGGGCTTTAGGGAAAGCTTCTCTCCCATGAGGACTGAACCTCCCAGGCACTTGCAATCACAGGACAGCAGAGGGGATGGGTCTGGACAGCACCTCATCTAATGCCTTCATTATCCAGATGGGGAAACTGAGGCAAGGACTTGTCTGAGTCACAGCAAGCGGGCAGATAAGGAGGAAGAAAATCAACCTGCCCAGTTCCCCAGGCTACAGCCCTCGGGCATGTTTTGCCTCTGTAATTAACATTTCAGGGTCAGCCACACCTTAGGGGTAGATGTTGGGAGCTAGCCATGACACTAGCCATGACACTGGCAAAAAAAGCTCAAATCACATATCATTTCTGCTTCTGAGTTGCAGGTGGTGATTTAAGCTGTGGAACGGCAAAGGGAAAATCCTTATATTTCAGAGTAATAGGTTGCGTAACTTTGTGAACATCATAAAAACCACAGGCATGTATGTATGCTTTAAGTGGGTGAATTTTAAGGCCTGTGAGTATCTCAATAAAGCTGTTTAAAAAGAATGATGCTTTCTTTTGAAGCAGAATCACTGGCCGGGTGCAGTGGCTCACACTTGTAACCCCAGCACTTTGGGAGGCCCAGCTCACTCCTGTAACCCCAGCACTTTGGGAGGCTAAGGTGAAAAGATTGCCTGAGCCCTGGGGTTCGAAACCAGCCGAGGCAATATAATGAGACCTCATGTCTATAAGAAATAAAAAAAATTAGCCAGGCATAGTGGTGTGCACCTGTAGTCCCAGCTATTCAGAAGGCTGAGGCAAAAGGATCGCCTGAGCCCAGGAGGCTGTGGTATATATATCAGGTCTGGGAGGGATCTCAGGTGTCATTAGTTCGAATTACTGTTTACTTTTCCTCCCATTCTGCAGATCTGGAAACCAAGGCCCCTTCAGATTTGCTTAAGGCTTCCAGAGGAGCCGGTGCCCTCAAAGAATCTTCTAGCTTCCCTCGCTACTCAACTGCACACTTCCCCAAACCCCAGGTCTTAAAGCTTCTGACCTCTGCCAGCTGCACAAACAGTTGGCACCAATGTCTGCTCCTGGCACCATGAATGTGCTGCACGGCCACTCTCAGGAGGGTCCGGAGATGAGAATGGGGTGTAGTGTCCTGGTACTGTCCAAAGAGAGGCAGCAGTTCTATGTGCTGAGACCACGGGGGCGGTTTGCTTTCTTGTTTTTTTGTCTTTCACTATCTCTGACTCATCCACAATAAGTAGGTGACCTAGGGTCTCCTCCAGCCCTGACAGTTGCTCGGGGCAGCAGGTTGGGCAGGATCCACACCTTCCCTTCAGACAGCCAGGGCGACTGAGTCCCTGGGAATGGGCATACTGCCCTCGTGTTGGGCCAGCTGGGTGGACTCTTCTCCTGGAGGGAGGCCATCAGGTATCAGGGTTCTGCATGACTGTCTCAGGCAGGTCAGGGCAAATGGGACAGTGTGGTGCCTCGTGCCACTCCCCGAGGCCCACCAGGGACAAGTCCTGACCCAGGCGTTCCCTCCGGCTGGGACTCACTCCCTCTCTCACCGCATCCCCAGGTCATCGTGCAGCGGTCACTGTCCGCCCGGGACCTGAACCATGCCAAGGCGGGCTCCATCCTGGCCAGCTACCTCAAGATGCTCCCCATGGGCCTGATCATCATGCCGGGCATGATCAGCCGCGCACTGTTCCCAGGTAGGATGGGCACTGGGTGCTGAGCCGGGCCACGGGGCACCCGGGGTTCTGGGTCCTTGCTCTGGAGATGGATATGAGCTGCTTTCCAGTCTAGGGAGGGGGGAAGAGTGGCCCCCACGGCCACAATCAAAGGGACTGACACAGAGACGGCTTGGCACAAGGTCTAGACAAGGACTGCTTACTGCTGTGTGACCCCAGGGGTGTAAGGAATGTCTGTGTGGCCCGCCGTTTTGTCTAGAAACTAGGGATTGTATCACTCACTTGGCAGGTGGCATCGAGATCCCATAACAACAGGGTGGGGAAATGTGCGTTTCCTTAGGTTGCGATTTCAGGGCTCTGGGACCAACAGTCCTCAGCATCCATGATAGCCTGTCCTGTGACCCTGGGTAGTTCCCACTCCCACTCATTTATCAGTTTTCTCATCTGTAATATGGGAAGCTTTCGGAGCTGAGGACACAGTAGCCAAGAAGGTGGCAGCTCTGGGCTCTCAGGAGGCTTGGAAGGAGGGATTCCTGGGACTCCTGTGTGCAGGGACCTGACCCACCTGTGCCTCCTTATCCGTGGGGCGCTGGGCCGGCATCCTCCTCGATGCACCCGTCTCTTCTCTCCCCTGGCCCCGGGCCCACAGAGAGCCACTCAAGGGTCCACCAAAGGTCCCTCGGGTTACGTGGGGGGCACTGAGTTGCCGGCGGGGCGGGTGGGCTGGCCCATTGGCCACCTGCTCTGAGTGGCGCCTCTGGAGGGGGACAGAGCGATCCCTCACCTCGAAGTACTCATCTGACACAGAAGAGGAGGCCGCTGAGGGTCGCCGGGGGCCAGGGCCATGGCTGGAGCTGCCCGAGAGGCTGTCCTGGTCACTGAGGGTCACATAGTCATCATCATCTTCCTCTTCCTCCCCATCCAGCCCATTGGGGATCCCTGCCCCCAGGTCCTCAGGGTCCTCCCGGCTCACAGACAGCTGTCGCTGGAGCCGGGCATGGCCAGGACCCGCCGTCCTGGGCAGCCTGTGGCCTGTCCCATTCCGGGGCACCTCCTCGTCTGGGGTCTCTGGGGCCCAGCCAACAAGACCGCCATCCTGGGCTAGCAGGTCTGCCACAGGGACTGTCCGGGGCTTGGGCACAGGGGGCAGTGGCTCAGGGTCCCCCTGGGGGAGGCCATTCTCGGCTGGGATGTCGTCCGGGGGGGCACTGGGCTCTGGGGGTGGGCAGGGCTCTGGGGGGGGCCGGCCATCCTGGCTCTGCTTCCACAGCTGGTGCTGGGTGCTGGCGTGGGACGTGTCACGGATCTTGATGCGGTTCATCTGACTGGGCTGGGGGTTCCAGATGTTGGGGTCAATGATGTTGATGTAGCCCAGGATGTCGCTGCCGGGCTCGGGGTCGGGCTCCACCCACGTGGGCAGGTACTCAAACATGTTGGCCCTCTCCAGGTGGAGCAGGCCCGGGTGGACAGGCAGCGGCAACTCAGGAAGGTCTCCCGGCTGCTCGGCCAGCGCCAGGCCCCGCAGCCCCGCCGGCCTCTTGGCCTCCTGCTTGTCAGAGGAGGTCTTGGCGATCTCATCGACGCTCTTGGCCTTGACCAGTGCATACTTGGGGTTGACAAGCTTCTTGGCCACAGTGCCTGCGGGTACCAAGGGGACTACAGAGGGCAGCACGATGGGCTCTGGCTCGGGCTCCTTCTCCATGGGGATGCCCTTGAGGCTGACGCCTTGGGACATGAGGTACAGCTCCTGGAACTGCCGGTCAAACATCTCCACCACCTGGCCAGACAGCACAGAGATCACGTTCCGGTCTGTCCGTGCAGCTGACCACGTGAAGCTGCAACACAGAGGGAGGGATGGCGCTGGTCAAACACATGGGCTCCCCCAGCCAGGGGGAACAAGTGAGCGGGGGCAAGGGCGGGCACTCACTGGGACGCAGGCAGGTCACTCGCACTGAGCCCACTCCCACCCCGAAAATGGCACCCAGTGCAGCCTTGGACACTGGGGGTCGGGCAGCCCATGGTGGTCAGTGCTGTTATTAATGCTACCAACCCAAGTGATTGTGGGCAGTCCCTACCCCACTGTGCCATGTGGTAGAGCCTGCAGAGCTGGCCCCGTACCCGAGGACGGTTCTCGGAATGACAGATCGGTGTGGGCTTGGGAAGGTGTGGCGTGGCCTGGCCTGGCCCATGCCCTACCATCAGAATGGTGACACCTCCAGTGTCCTCGGACAAAAGCCTTCTTCTCTGCCTCCAGAATCAGATGGGCGTGTGGGTACCCCAGCCCCAGCGCCAGACCCGCACACACCCTAGCAGTTTTGGGACCCATGAACTGAAATGGCCAGGATGTCATAAGTCAGGATTAAGAGCAGAAGCCAGACGGAAACCAGAGGTGCCTTTCCGCCAAGCCCCCAGAAAGCTGGAGAGTTACCTGTAGGAGCCACACACGGCTCGGTCTCCATCCACGAACATGAACTTCTGAGCCAGGGCGCCCTTGAACTTGGTCGCCGACCGCGTGAAGAACTCAGTTCCTCCGCTGCTCCGCACTCTGAGATTCTGTGTTGGGAACCGAGAGACAGACTTACACCACCACAACACTGACCACTCGGGGCAGTGGAAGGGCAGCAAGCTGCCCAGAGCGAGGGGAGGGCTTCAGGGGAAGCACAGGTGGGAAGAAAGAGGCCGGAGGCAGGGGCTGGCATGTCTGGGACCACAGGGCCTAGGTAAGGTGGACCATGAAGCTGGAGGCGGGGCGGGACTGGTGACAAAGGGCATGAGACAAGATGGTCTGGGCTTTGGATCAAAAGATGTCTGAACTGCACTGGCGGGACAAGACTTGCCTGGCCAGGCCACTCTGGAAAATGCCATGGGTGGTGGAGGCTTGACAGGGTCCTGAGTGGGAGAGTGACGTGCCCAAATTTTAGAAAAGTCCTGTGGATGCCTGGGGGACTGTTCAGTTTGGGGGGGGTGTTGCCAGGGCAATGTGTTACAAACTCTGGCTCCTGGGTGCCCCCAGAGAGTCTGACTCAGGAGGCCTATGGGAATTTCAGTTCTAACACAAGTCTCAGGGATTCTGATACTTTCCCAGGACAGGAACCTCCTCAATCACATCATGACTGGTCTGCTTGCATGCTTCCCATGATGGGAGTCTCACTCCCTCCTGAGGCGCTCTGTGTTGGCTTCAGGCTCTTGGCTGTGACAGGTTCTTTGTCAGACTGAGCCATGACTAACTAGTCTGCCCCCTCACCCACTCACCAGTCTCAGCTTATTTACTGCCCATTCATTCATGCGACCCCTGCCGAGGTCCCCAGCTGCAGACACAGAGACAACTGCGACAAGAATCTCCCCTTGGAGGTGAAGGGGAGGCAGATGAGTAAACGAAAGCAATCAGGAATGCTCAGGACCACAGAGGAGTGGCCCCAGGCATGGGGGGCTGGCCAGGAGGCTCCCAGGAAAGGATGACATGGGTCCGGGTGGGAGGAGAAGGACACATTCCAGGAGAGAGACACAAAGGCCTGGCACGAGAGGCCTTTGTACAAGAGTATTGAGGGGGAGGAGGGGCGGGCTGCTGATGAAAGACCCCGCACCCGCTTGAGGGCCCGGGCTTGGCCCTGGGACAGGAGGGAGGCCTGGGAGGATTCAGAGCAGAGCGATGGGGTGGGAGCTACATTTCAAGAACAGTCCTTGTGGCCTCCAGTCAGGGGGCATATGTGAAACGAAGGGGGAGAGGAGAGGCCCTGAACAAGAAGGCTGCCCATGAGTGAGGGAGGTGGGCCGGAGGGGGGAGCCAGCCCCCGCCCTGCCAGTCCTTCTTGTGTCCCAGACCCCTGTGGCTGGAGCAGCATCCACAGAAGCTGGCAGCATGGGCTCTTGGGTGAGTCCCCATGTGATGCCCGCCCGTGGGGTGAACAATCAGCTTGTCGTGGGGCCCAGCCCAGAAGGCAGATAGGCCTCTGCTCCCAGCCACTCCCCAGGCCTCCCGCCCTGCAGGCTGCTGTCTACACAGCCAGCTCAGCAGGAAGCTGGCCACGGCCCAGGACAATTAGTGCTCGTGACTTTGTACCAACACGGAGTACACTCAGAGACACGAGGTCCAACAAAGATCCTGGAGGTGGTGTGAGGCCTTCCCTGTTACCTGAGTCCAACCACAGCCCAGCTCCATGGCTCCCTTGGCTGTCACCCCCCTCCATCTTGTCCTGGAAGATTGCCCGCCAGCCTCGACACCCCTCTCCCCAGTGTCCATCTCCATCCACCCCGAACCTTGTCTTGATAAAGGGCTCAGAAGGTCGCCACTTCCATCTCAGAGTGACTCAGCCTCCGTGTGAGCGGCAGGCTTTTTCTGAGCCGCTGGCTTGCTGGGTGACCCTCAGCAAGTCTCGGGCCCTCTCTGGGTCTTAGTATCCCTGTCTGCACACTGGGGGACTGGCCTCAAACTTAGTCCCCTTCCACCCTGAGACTCGGCAGCAGGTGGGGACTTATGGCGGGGTGCTCCCCCCGCCTTGTGGCCCGTTCCCTGCTGGTTCCTGGGTGGGCCCCACCCCATGAGGCCTGGCCCGGATGAGGTAACGTCTCAGGAGTCTGGGCTCGCGTGAGCAGGGGTGGAGGATCCCACAAAGCCACATTGTCTCTGAGCTCCTGGGACACCCCGGCAGAGGATGGGCAGTTGGGCGGAGGGACACTTGAGCTGGCCCAAGTGGGGTGCCCTGGGCAAGTCCTTGGGTGCTCTGGGACCTCAGTTTCTTTGTGCTTTTGTAAAAGAGAGGATGTCAGGGGCGAGTCAGGGCAGAGGGGCCAGCCGGGCAATGCTTTATCTGCTCTCGGAGGGTGGCTTCTGCCCCAAGCCAGTGTGGGCGAGGTGGGGTGTGCACCAGAGCCGGGGAAAACTGCAGCACCCTGCCCCGAAACCCCACACGCCACCTGTGCTCACAGCACACGTGACCTGACCCTGTACCCAGCCTGCCGGCGCCCAGGCCTAGGCTGATGGGAGGCAGAGGAGACACAGCCCAGGTCCCCCTGGAATAGGGTGGGTCTGGACATTCTTGAGCTCTGGTCAAACATAGCTCCAGTCTTGGCCCAAATGACTGGGCCTTTCTACTCCTCAGTTTTCTCATCTGTGAAATGGGCCTACCCACCCTGGTGGTACAGGGCTGCTGTGAGGACTGAATAAAGTCACTCGCAGGTGGGGCCCACCCAGGGAAGATGCCCAGCTCTCAGTGGGAACCCTATGAACTTGAGATGACAGAGCAGTCTGTGGGGAACCATGACAGAAGACTAGAAAACATCTGGGATGGCATGGACTCCCCAGAGAGGCCAGGGCTGCCTGCTGTACTTGGTAGATGTTCCAGTGTGTTCAGGGAGGGGTAGTGACTGGCCCATGGTCTCCAGCAGAACAGGCCCAGCCAGACCCGAGGACCAGGACAGGACTCCAGCTGCATATGGCGGCTCTATCATCGCCCACCCCCCACAGGGGCCTGCCAGCGTCTCCTGGGCAGGAGGAGATGCAGAGAGGCTCACAGATCTTCCTGGCCAGGCCTGTGCTGGGAACAGCAAGGTCAGGGCAGGTGCGAGGAACGCAGGGGACAGAGCCAGTGTGGGAGGCCAGAGCCCAGGTCCCCAATGTGCTGGGTCCCCGCCAGCCTCCGCTCTCACTTAAGGGACCTGTCTTGTGCCCTGTAAAGTGTAGGGGGGGCAACACCCACCCCGGCCTCTGCGTGCTGTCGTGAAGTTGTGGTGAGGAGTCCGTTGGTCCAAGGCATGTGACAGGGGTTCTGGGGCAGAGACAGGGCCAAGCCAGCTCAGCTCCAAGGCCCTTGTCTGAGAAGCCCCTGGCTCTGCCCCAAGGCCAGGGTTGCTCAGCCTCGGTACAACTGACATTCGGGACGAGGGAATTTGGCACGATGGAACCTGTTCTGTGCATTGTAGCATGTTTAGCAACATCTTGGCCTTGACCCACAAGACGCTGGTGGTACCCCTGAGTTGTGACAGTTAAAAATGTCTCTGGACATTGCCAAATGTCTCTCAGGAGGGTGAACCCTCCAGTTCAGCATCCTGGCCCTCGACCCAGAATCCGTCACAGACTCAGGCGTCCCCAGGGAGGGAAGAAGCCCTGGGCACGGGAAGGGTGGCTCGGACTGGACCTGAGACTGGAGCGGCAGCTGATCCGCACATCCTCCCCAAGTGCCTTCCCACGGCCACCCAGTTGGTGCCTTTGTTCGTCACAAATGGGTCCGGCCTTTGCTCAGGGGCTGCTGGTTTTTCCAGTTCAGCTGCACAAAGCCAACCAGCTTTTCGGATGGGCCAGGCATCTCACGCCTCCCATTCTGTCCTAAGCTGGAGCCTCGAGGCTCGGCCTGGCTCCCACCGGCCGGGGGCATCACTCCACACCCAGTATCACCCCCAGAGGCAGCCAAGTCCTGTAGCTTGGCATGGCCCTGTGTGTGAGGGTAGAAGGCCAGGTCCTCTTCCCAAGGCCTGCTCCCCATCCGTAACCTGGGGTGATCTTTCACATACTCCCGCCTGGAGGGCCACTGAGGCTGGCTGGGAGCCCACACCTGGGGAGATGCTGTGTACTCAGCTCCCACCTCACCTGGGGAATGGGAGTGGGCTCGGCCCAAGCGACACGGTGTTCCCAGAGTTTTGGTGTGGGCTCAGAGCTTGGGAGGAGGGAGTGAGTGAGGGCAGACCAAGGGAATGAATGACCAGTTTCATGGCGGGAGACGGGGAAGGGGAAGCCACACCAGTCCCCAGCCAAAGTCAGGACAGGAAGGGAGCTGATGACTGAGGGCCTCCCCCACACGTGGCCTCCTCCCCTCTTCACGGCAGCCCTGCCCAATAAATGATCACATTCCCATTTTCCAGACAAGAAAACAGGCCCAGAGAGATTCAGTGACTCTCCCCAAGGTTACCGTGCAGGAGGCAGAGCTAGGGCTCAGGACTGGCTCCTGGTGTCACCCCTAGACTGGCACCTGACACTCCTGTCTGGTCGCAAGGATGACCCCACCGGATGCGACCCACAGGATTCAGGGCAGGACGGTGCAGACTAGGGCAGGGGCGGCGGGCGGCCGAGGGCGGGCCCGGGGATTACCAGTAGAGGAAGTGCTCCCGAGACAGGTCCAGGCCCAGCCAGCCTGCGGGCAGGGAGGTAGGCTGGGGGAGGCAGGCCCTTGACAAGGTGACACTTGGTCAGGGCTGGGCCCACAAGAGCCCCTGGCCGGCCGCCCAGGGCTGTGGAGGGAACAGGCTATGAGGTGAGAATGAGGAAACCGATCACTTTCCCATGAAGGCATCCAGCCCCTGAGAACATCAACCTGCAGATCCTCCCACCTCCCCTGGAGAGGAGGGCAGCTGACTGGAGCCCTGGACCCACAGTGCGAGCTGCCCCTCCCCTGCCTGAGGGGTCACAGACCAGCTGAAGGGCTGAGGGTTGGGAGGGAAAGGGCTCAAGCCCAATCCCCTGCCTAGCCCAGGGCCTGGGGTTCAGAGCTGATTGTTCTTGCCAGCAGCTGAAAAACTATTCTCGGCGCATAGGGCGCTTTGCAACCACCATCTCCTTTCATTTCATCCTCCAACAAGCTTGAGGCATCGGTATGGCCATAGGCACTGGAGGCCCAGACAGGTGGAAGCACATACCCACATCCCACAGAGGGTCAGCCCCAGGGCAGCCTGTGTGGCAAGGGTGGCCTCAGCCCAGGGACGTTGTGCACCAGGGTTCTGTGTCCTCCTTGCAGGAGCCAATCCCTCCTTACTGTCTCCTTTGTTCAGCCCCTGATTTGGTGGGATTGCTTTTAGGCAAGTCATAACCTCCCTCTGACTTTAGTTTCCCCATCTTCTGTGGCCTCACATGGGTGGCCTGAGGCCCCTACGAACCCATGGGGAGGGAGCCTTGCAGCCCACCCCTGCCCGCCCCACCCACTTCCTGGGAGCTCAGAAAACTCCTAGTACGGGGCAGTCAGGGCTTTGTGGCTAGAAGAGACCCCCAGGGCACAGGGCAGGGCTGAGGCCCCTGGGGCAGCCACCCTGAGCCAGGGGCCATGCTCCTTCCTTCCTGCCTCTGCATCAGCATACGGGGGGCACACATGAAGCACCTGCAGGGTGTGTGGCAGGGGCACAGTGGCAGCGGGCCCTGCCAGGGTCTCTTCCCGAGCACTGGAGAGGGCGGCCAGACAGCCCTGAGGCTCTCTGACCTGCTGCCCAAGGCTCCCCCATAACCCCCCTGAGTCTCTGTGGCCACGTTTCAGAAGTGGCCTTCTCCACGCTGTGGCTCTCTGGGGAATGAGCTGTCTGCCACCGGAGTCGATTCCTGGCACTAATTACACAGCAGGAAGGGAGGGGGTCAGGTGTGGGGCTTGGGGTCAACCTACTGGGAAGACCACATAAAAATGCCCCAAGAGCTAGAAACTCGCCACAGAGTTTCTCACAACCACTTGAAAGGACTCAGCTGACAGGTAGGGGCGCTTGACAAATGCTGACAAATTACAGGTGCGGGGGCCTGGCCCCTTGTTAACCAGCCTGGCATCATGCCTTCTCCTGGGATCTTTGTTCAGATCACAGGCCTGACGCCTAAAGAATTGTGACCCATCAGATATTGGCGCTGGCCCCCATGGGTCTCCTATCTTTAACAAGCAGTGACACCCGGGTATGTGCCTCCATTTCCTCATCTGCAAAATGGGAACAACTGCCCATCCCATTGGGTTGTTATGAGGATTAAGTAAGTTCGTCCATGTGAAGTGCCCAGGGTGGGAGTCTGGCACATAGCAAACACCACAGGAGTTATTATCTGACACTGTGTACGCTGGTCCGTCCTCAGGGAAACACTCGCACAGCAGGTGCCAAGTGATGGCTGGTGAAAGGACGGCTCCTCCTGCCCCCAAACAAGGCACCAAGTGCCAGGGTGTCTGGACAGAAAAGCACAGCCACATGAGCTTCTCTGCTCCTCTGTTGAACCAGTGAGATCCTAGAGCCCAGAGAGGGAAGGTGACATGCCCAAGGGCATACAGCAAAGCAGTGCTGAGCACCCCAGTCCACTGAGACCTCATCAGCAGCCTTCTTGCCAGTTCTGCTCTGGGGTCTTCCCCTCGCCCCGAAGGTCCTTTTTACTCGCTCACTCATCATCAGAGAAACGCAAAGCAAAGCTACAGTGAGACACCACGACCTCACACCAGTCAGGATGGCTATCGTTCAAGTCAAAAGAGCAACAGGTGCTGGCATGGCTGCAGAGAAAAAGGGAGGCTTCAAATCCACTTCAACTATGCAGCCATCAAGGAAGCCGTCCCTGACCTCAGCCCGAGGGAGCTTCCTCTGCTGGGTCCAGATCCTAAAACCAGCGAGTACACATTCTAAGGAGATGGACTTTGGCTTAGCCCAAAAAAGGGCTTCCTGGGACTTGGGGCTTTCCAGATAGGCCATGAGCTGCCTGAGGAGGCGGTGAGCACTCTGTCACTAGAGGAATGCAAGCAGACAAGGAATCAATAACATGTGATGTAGCACCCGGCATGAGCTCCAGCACCTGGTCAGCAGGCACCTAATCAATGTTTATCTTATCACTGCCCTGTGGGAGGTAGTGTGGATCCTGTCCCTTGATGCATTCAAGCAGAAGGCTATATGACTGCTTGACAGGAGGCTCTAGGATTATTGAACTCTGTCCCTGGCACAGGGCTCCATCCAGAGCAGGGAGTTACACAAAGTGTTTGTCGACCGATGAATGACCCCTGGCCTCCAGCTGCCCAGGCAAGCCGGAAGCCTGCTCACCTTGAGGTGGCCCAGGTGCATGCAGGCCCGCTCACACATGTGTAGGAAGTACTTGACGTTGCTCTCGTCCACGATGATGTACACGGCCACTTTCCTCTTGAAGCCGGCATCTAGCAGGTCCTTAAAGATGTCCACATCAGTGAACATGTCCATGACCACGGCTATCACCTTGGGAGGAGCAGGAAGAAAGACCAGGGTGTGTCAGACAGCACAGCAGTGGGGAAGGGTGCCTCAGTAGGACACATAACCCTCCCATGCCACCACCCTTCCAAGGGTGCCCACTCTGGCCCCACTCCTGGCAGCCTTAGGCCTAGGTCCAGGAAGCGGGGCTCAGCCTGGGGACCTTGTGTCGGTGCATTCCCCAGCCAGGTCTGGCTACACACTGCTCTGCTTTCAACACCCAGGGATGCTGAAGTGAACCAGATGTGTCCTCTGCTGGGAAGGATGGCGGCAGCTGGCATGGCTGCTCGCCGGGGCCTCCCCTGCATCTCTGGGCTGGTGTGGACTTTGGCCACCACTCCCCTGTTGTGGATGGAGCCCAAACCCTCACGTGTACTCTTCCTGTCACCTGACAACATCTGTCCCCACAGCAGGTGACCTCCTGCTGAACCTGGCTCAGGGTGGGGCCCTGGAGGTCAGGGTGCATCTGCCCACCCCCAGCCTGGCTTAGTCCTGCCATCGGGACAGGGACCCGGGATAGTGAAGCCACAAGATCGAACAGGCACAGGGAGAAGGTGGAGTGCGCCCAGGCACTGCTGGGCTCTGACTACCAGGTCCTGCGTCTCAGGCTCCCGCACCCCGTCCCCACCCTGTCCACTGGGCAGCAAAGGAGAGGAGTCAGGCCAAGGCCTGTGCTTGGTCACTGCTGCCCGACGCTGCTGATGCAGCCATTCAGCACTCTAGCCCGCCCCACCCCTCCTGCCCTCTGAGGCCGGTGCCACTGCCCATGTCCTGGGTCTGAGAATGGCCCGGAGGAGCCCTGCACAGAGAAGCCAGAGATGTGTCCCAGGCCACACTGCCAGCTAGGCACAGAGTTGAGCCGGAACTTACCCAGGCCCGCCAGGGAGGAGCACTCAGCCCCTACCCCACCATGAGGGTGGCCTGGCAGGTTCCCCTTGCTGGGATTCAGACACAGGGTGACGGAAACAGCCTGGAGCTTACTGGGGACGTGTCTGCACACTCCACAGTGAGCTCACCAGGCTGGCCCCTGCAGGCCCATCTGGGCTCCTCCTGGGCCTCAGGCCCCTGCTGACTGATACCCATTGCCTGTCTGGCACCAAAGCCCAAACTCCAGCGCAGGAGAGGGCTCTGTGCCAGCCATGCCCCAGACTCACTGTGTGACCCTGAGCATGAAGCCTGGCTTCTCTGGGCCCAGTTTTCTCATCTCTCAGGAGAACCAAGCACACCCGAATATAGCAATACCAGTGAAGGACCCCGACCCGGAAGAGGGGCTCGGTGACGCCCACTCACGGCCTCTTTCCCACAACCAGCCTCACATATTACAGTTTGCAGGCATTCTCCTCAGCCCGGCTCCTGCAACCTTGCAGGCGCCATGGTGGCGAGAGCCCGTGTGCAGCTGGATGAATGGAGGCTCAGGGAAGTCGTAAGGCTGGCTGGAGGTTACAGCGCAAGTTGAGGCAGAGCCTGGACCCACCCCCAGGCCAGGCCAAGATTGGTCTCCAGCCGCTTCCCCTGGAGATTTAGTTCCAGAGGGCCTGGTAGCCACGAGTCCACCCAGAGAGCGGAAGTATGGGACCAGCCAGCAACCCCTGGTGCCAAGGCCTTGGGTTCTCTCTGTCCTCCTGGGGGGACAATTGCTCTCTGTCTCTGAGTTTCTGCAGGGCTGTTTTGGGGCCGGGGGTGCAAGCACCGTCAATGCAGGGGCTGCAGCTGGCAGGGCTAAGCCAAGGGAAGGCAGACGTTGGCACCAGATGGGGAGGGTCTTCAGAGGAAGTGAACTCCCCAACCCAGCAGGTGTTCAAGGAAGGCCAGAGACTGCCTTGTGAGGGGATGAATGAGATAGCAGAGGATGCAGTATGGGCTGGGTGGGCCACGATGACCTTGGATGGCACCACCCGCTGAAGGTGACGAGACCCTGGGCTGGGGGTGGCAGCAGGGACTTCCTGGCCTGGGATCCCACAGCCCCAGAGCCAAGCCAGCCCGGAGGTCCCCTTGGAAAGCCACTCCTGGGCATGCAAGCAGCCTCACGTGCCGCCTGGAAAGAGGCCTAATCAGGGTGCAGCAGACACACTTCTCCCTGGAGGGTTCCAGGCCCTGCCCGCCATGGCAGACAGGGACTTGCCCTGGGTCTGGGCTGGGGGACATGTTCTGGCAGGACCTGCCCCATGTGCACCTTTCCCCACGTTGCCCTCGGCCAGGCAGGGTACCTGATCCAGGGACTGTCTGCTGCCAGCCTGGATCCGTTGGGGCCTGCCCCCAAGGTGGATCCCGACACAGTCCCATGGCTGAGAGCTGGCTCTCCCCGGGGTTGGGCTGGGTGGCTGGGTTTAGTCAAAGGAAGACTGTAACAGGTGCCAGCTGATGCTGGAGATGGGGAGGGGGTGCTTGGTACAGCCCAGGCAGGCCCCACAGCTCTGTCCAGAGCCACAGAGGTTTCTTGGAGGCCCTTGAGTACCTCACACACTTCCCCACTTTATAGATGGAAAAGCAGGCACCAGAGCCAATGGCTTAGGCTAGAACCCAGGGCCCTAAGACCCACCCAAGCACCTTCTGCCCAAGAGACCGGGAGCCAGTTTCGAGTCCTTGTGCTGCGTGACGGTTTATAACACACTTGGACAAGCGCTACGTTGTCCAGTCCTCACAAACACAATGTGAGGCAGTGGTTCTGTTTCCAATTTTACAGATGAGGACACAGAGGCACCGAGGCATTCACTAACCTAATTATCTGTTTGGGTGACTCACTTGTGACACTGTGAACTCACCAAGGGCAGAGTCCTTGTCTGGACCCAGCATGGGGCCTGGCCTACGGTAGGTCTTGGGGAGGTTTTACCAACTGAGAACAAGACCAAATGGCTCAGCCCAGGAGCAACTGCAGCAGTCAGGGTACCTAGGACAAGCCAGGGCCCCTCCTGGACCCTCTGTTTCCCCATCTGCCAAATGGGGTGGTGGGCCTGGCTCGCTCCTGTGGTTCTATCCAGCTCAGACATCCTCAGAGCTGGCCCTGCAGAGAGGAATGCCCCAGCCACCTCCTGCAGCCCCAAGCCCACATGTAGTCCTCAGAGGCCCTAGGCAGGGCCAAAGCCATGAAAAAGACAAGAGGGGAGGCTGGACTCTGGAGACCACCCCTACCCTGCTGTGTGTCAGGGGATGAACCACACTGGGTGTAAGGCAGCAGTCTGGGTCCCAGACCTGAGCTTACTCCGCTCATGAGGCAGGAACCGGCCATGTCCATGTGAGCAGCTGGCCCAAGGTGGGCGTGGAGGGCAGGCATATGCCCATGCCCAGGCCCCATCATCGGGAGCTGATGGGCATCTCCCAGCCTCACTAGCCCGGAATCTGCACAGGCCACACAGCCCAGCTCCCAGGGGAAGGAGGGAACCCAGGCCCTGACATCTTACTGATGGGAAAGGCCTCTGCTGGGTGGCTCTGAGGCCTCAAAGATGCAGTTGCAGACCCCAGGAGGGCTGAATGCCTGAAAAGACAGCCATCTGATGGTCATTGGGCTCTGGGACCCCAGGATGGCAGGTGGGGCTGTGGGAGGATGGCTGTGCCTGGGAGGGACCAGCGAGGGCAAGGGCAGAGGCGGGCTGGGCTGTAGCAGAGGGGGCACCAGCAAGAATGTGGTATGGGCACTGGGTTCAAGGGTGCCAACACTGAGTATGCCCAGGTCTCCCTGCCCAGGCCTCTCCCGCTCCTTGTACCCAAATGTCTCTAGCACGTATCTACGTATCTCCAGGGGGTGTCCAATGTGTGCACACCCCCAAATGCGTTCTCCCTCCATTGCCCTCACCCCGCAAGTGGCCCCCCCATACCTCCTTGTCCCTTGCTAAACCCTCCCTGATCCACCGGGCCCGCCAGGCCTCTCCATCCTGCCTCCTGCCTGTGTCTCGAAAACCCCACCTCCCTCTGGTGTGGCCAGGGCAGCTTGCTGGCTTCCTCACATCTCCCCTCTTCCCATCCCCTGATGATGTCAGAATTCCTGAAATATCCTTGGGACAGGTGGATATTCACCCCCACAGGAGAGATGCAGAAACTGCGGCCCAGAGAGGAGAGGGCACTGGCCCGAGGTGCCCCCTCAAACCAATCAGGGCGCATGCCGGTCCCCAGTGCCCTACCTGGGCAGTGACTGGAGTCACTCGAGCTGGGAGGGGACAGTGTGCGAGCCACAAAGAAGAAGCAGCCCCACCAGTGGCTGCTACCCCAACAGACAGGGCCTAAAGTCCTATAAAACCAGCTGCTGGCATTGGTGGTATGAGACAGGTGTTAGGTCACATGGGCAGAGAACACTCCTCAATCTTCCTCAGTCCCAGCCTGAGCACCCTGAGCAAGAGCAGAGCAGGCCCAGCAAGGGCGCCCCAGCTCAAGGCAGGATTTTGGGTGAGCTGCATTATCTCTCTGGGTCTCAGTTTCCTCATCTGTAAAACTGAGGAAGGTGGAACTGATCTCTAAGGCCCTCTGTCTCGACGTCCCTGCAGAAGGACCCTAACTCCCACTCCCTGCCCGGTGCCCAGCAGGGCCTGTCTGGGCTGGCTGGAGCATCTCACCGCACCCACAGGCCTGGGAGAGGAAGTGCTGGCAGCCGCCCCACCTCTCCACACCCCCACAGGGCTCCTGCCTCACAAATGCCGACACCGGCTCGTGGCTCCGGCTCGTGGCTCCTGGCACCCACAACAGATGTTTTCTAGCTTTCTTGTGACCACAGAATCCACTCTCGAAACAGAAGGGCTCTCACAGGGTGAGTGGGTAGAACAGGTCTCCAGGAAGAAGGGGTGGAGTGAGATGGGCATGGAGGGAAAACTGCTAGTGGGCAGGCCCAGTCTCTGCAGTGGCATCTTTCCTGGGGGACCCTGACCCACTGGCCCCTCTCCCCAAAGCATCCTGCCTCAAGCTACTGCCTCTCCTGCATGCTGTACTTGCTGGGCTGCCAGCCCGTCTAGCCCCTACCTGGACAACTCTTACCATCCTGTAAATCCCAATCAAATGCTGTC